TGGTGAAATCCATGTCGCTTTGTGGATATCTTTGTGCCTGAACACACTGCCTCCAATCACCAAATCGTTGAATGCGCAGAATTCTGCAAACAATTCTCCATTCTCATTCATTTCACCTAGTGCCTCTCGACCCATGGTTAGTTCTCTTCCCGTGTTGTCCCCTCCCAGTTTGGCATTCATGTCGCCCATCAGAATTTTGATATCGCCAACTGACGTCTTGTCCAGTGTTGATTGAAGTTGTCTGTAGAAATCCTCCTTTTTCTCTTGCTCTGCATTATTTGTAGGTGCATAACATTGTATGATTGTGACCTTTCTTCCTTTTGAGTTGAATCTTGCTGTCATGATCCTGGAGGAGATTGGTTCCCACTGCATGAGAGCCTTCGATGCTCTTGAGGACATCATGATAGCCACTCCCTCAGTGTGCTCGTGGTTGGCGTCTGGGTGACCGGAGTAGATTATTGATTCTCCAGTTGACAGTTTGGAGAGTCCACTCCCATTCCATCTGCTTTCGCAAATCCCAAGCACTTCGATGTTATACCTTCTCATCTCCCTTGCAATCTGGGCTGCCTTACTGGGTTCAAACATCGTGCGGACATTCCATGTCCCCACGTTTACTTTCGCTTTCATCGAGAGAAGACACATCGGCCAATTGGCTTCCCGAAGGCTTTCACCAACTGGCGTCATTTCGCCTCTCCGATTCCAGCGGGGAATAAGTTTGTTTTCATTTTTTATATTTTGTTTGTGCTTTGAAGTTTCTTTAGCGGTTAGATTTGTTTTACGGGGTAGGGTTGCTAGCCCTATGCCCAACCTTCCCTCTTTACCCGGGCTTAGGACCGGCTAGTAACTAGTAAACTAGTTAACCAGGCGAGGTTTTCAGGAAAATGGTTTAAATTAACCAAGTATTAGTTTTTAGGATTTATCATCTCGCGTCTTTTCAAATGAGTTAACTTATATACTGTATAGAATTTTTATTGAGGTCTTCAACTAACTAGCTGATATAACATAATAATGTATTTAAGCCATTAAATGATAGATGAATGTTCTAGGGATATCCGTTATTTGTGGGCTAGTAAAACTACCCGATTACGGAAATTTTGGCAGAAGACTGGTATCCCATTGGTTAAAAGTTAGATATGCCTAAATTTACATATCATTTACATCAGTAACTAAATTTTTATTGGTATTGAGTATCAACTTGAACAAGCCCATACTCATTTAGCCTCAATGTGAATAGTCTTTTAAATATTGAGAGATTGACTCGAAACAGCATGCTACCAACTACAGAAATAGCCAATCAGGTTTCTAGATTCCGTACAGAAATCACTTTCCTTAACGAAACACTGAAACTTGATTGGTTATTTTGGCTATTCTAACTATAGACTAACGTTTACATCACATTGGCCACAACATGATGTAAATCTATGTGGTTTGATTGGATATTTAAATCGATAGAAAGTGAATAACCATTGGTAAAACTTAGTTTAGTAGATAAGAAGTGATATATTCGCATTCAAAGTTGAAAATATTCATCCCATTCTTTTACTGTTTTAAAGGTATGCTACATTCGCTGAAGCTCAGATTGCTTAACACAGAAAATCCACACCCGATTAATGTGTACTAATATAATATTTTCGCTAATAGTTTCAGTACCACAGTCATAGTTATGATTCCTATACATGATAAAATCCTTTAACACCAATTTTATAAACATTTCTCTACTTCAGTCAACAGTATAGTATTAGTGTAAGAAACGACAAAAGCTGAGATGCAGGACAGAATGTTTATTATGACATCTTATACCGTACTGATGGAATTTTGTACATTTTTCATTAAAATAGTCATTTGTACAGTGTTTCATTTCCTTTTATGCTTCTATCTCGACTTGCTCTTAATACGCTGAGATTGTCTCTTGGGTTCTTGTGGGCAGAATATTTACCCATCACTGATAATTCCCAATGATTTCTACTGACCTCTCAACATATACTACTTATATCTATTCTTATCAGTAGCATCCACCACATTAGCAGCTTTTAAATACTGTCTTTTTTTCAGAAACGATACTAACAGTTCTGAATTTAAAGTGGTAGTTTTAATGTATCATCAAAGTATACGCGACTTGATAGCTAAAATGCCAGTTTAATGCCAAGAAAGCTAAACTGAAGTATCACAGGCGAATAAAATGGAATTATCGAGGTGCCAATACAACAATCGTCTTTAAACTGAATAAATAAACTCTTCAACGAACAGATAATTCCCATATTAAGTTATAAACAAACATATAACAACGAAGATAATTATCTTTTGAACGATTTCATTTACTAAGATTATAAAATCTTATTTAAAATCACTGGTAACTTATAATGGTCTACTGTTAATCAATAGGAACACGTAATTACAATGGTGTTCAAAAAGTGGAATGGAAAGTTTTCAAAGGCAGAAGAAAATCACTAATTTGGCTGTGATAAGGCTAATGAATGCCTGTAATGTTTCTGAACACAGAGATCAGGTCTAAGGTTGTGAATTACCAACGATTTGGCTATGCAGAGATGACTCAGTTGAAGTCTTTTGGAACTGCATAAAGGGTTACTTTGAAGGAACTCCTTGGATGAGTCATATGTCCGGAGATAATAAGGTGTCCAATAATAGAAATGATGGTACTATTTTCCCTTTTTTTCCGGATAGTGTTCCAACATACGCCCATGGACCTGACGCTGTGTACGGCCAATGTATGTTACTCTTTACGAACAAGTAAGCTGATAAATGCATTGAGTACCAGTTACACAACTGACTAATCATTAGAACTACATTACTTCATCTTCTCACGGATTTTAACTGATCAATTTAAGTGTACAGACAACTTTTATCACATTTTTCAACACTAAACTAATGCGCAAATTAGATTGTATGCTATTGCAAGATCCTGTCTCCTACTTAAAACAATCGTAAAAAAATATTTTTCTTCGCGTGGTTGTCTTTCCTTTCCTTTATGATTTACTTTGTTTCCTCAGTTGCATTTAGTCAAGTATATAATTATATAGAGGTTAGTAGTAACGGTCTATGCTGCGAATGTTCCCTACTAAGCTAAAGTTTACTTGAGCAAAGCTTTTCACGTCACTTAAGACGTGATTTTCAGTCCTAATTCATATGGAAGAATTTTATTTCTTTACAAACGTTTAGTTGTCTGCTTAGATAGCTCAAAAACCCTTTACATTTGGGGGCTAATCCGTTTACTGATACAATGACCAAGAAGATATACTGCAAGTAATTGCTTAGCCTATTTATAATACGGCAGCTATCTTTTGTCAGTATCATCGTAACAGTAAATACTCCATTCCTTCAAAAGCTGATGAATTTCGAAGTTATGAAAGTTATGTAAGCGAAGTGTGCAAGTGAAATTTGCATTCCTTATCCAATCGATAAGGAATACTAGTTTTCGAAGCAGCCGATGAGTATCTAATCACTAAACAAATTATCACTGGCTAAACTATATTCTTTTAGGCTATTCATATTACTTTTAATGTCCAGGTGTAAACTAATCACCGGAAGTATTTAAATGTACCCGAACTTTTAAGAGACTTTTAGTCATTTCAGCTGTCAAGATCAAGGTGTTTATTGACGTCTACCGGCCGATTAAAAATGGAGGCCAGCCACCTGACTGATACAACACCACGGTGAAAACATCCAACAGTGTGTTAAATACTAGTAGTCTGTTAACAAAAAGCTTCATGCCTAAGTTTTGTGCCTCCTGCCACTCATTGTTATGACGTATCTTTAATCTTGCGAAGATTCACATACCTTCAGGGAATCAAGCATCCATCATTCAGCTTTGCAACCACATATATACACAATTGATTGCCCGCATCACCAAACGAGAAAGAGAACTCATTGTTAGTTCAAAAACTTAGACACCTGTAGAAAAAGTACCTTTTCCTTCCATTAGAAAGTGGATTGCAGGCAGAAGAAAATTGACTGTCGTCTTTATAGGATCATGCTGTATGACTGAGCCTTTTCAGCACTTTGAATGAGAATTTGAGAATGTTTAGGATGCATTTCTCGCCAGCCAAATTTAACCTGTTGCTCCAGGACTGGTCTTCTGCATTGCCCCGGCTAACGGTAGTGCGTGAAGTTGTTGAGTATAGTGAACACTTCACTTACCTAGGAAGTTGGACTAGTGGCCAAAGAAATCTGTGAACGGGTACAAAAGACTCCACTGGCTTTCGCCATATGTGGCGCCACCGCGATTTGCGATTTTATATTGAGTCAAATGTACTGTGCTACAGTTAGTTGTGTCCCAATGTATAGTTTTGAGACAGCCATTAAAGGTAGAGGACATCAAAAGGCTTTAAGCACTCGATCAGGTGTAGAGTTTTCGGGAGGAGAGGAAATTCAGTCGACGTGGTTGTAAACTTACATTGACTGAAATGGTTAAGACATGTGTTACTTATACCTAATCATCGTCTGGCTGATAAAGCTAGAGGAGGCTAGACTAAAACATCGCATCGTTAAATGAAGTTCTTGACTGTTGGTCTAAGCAGCTCAAAGAGGTGGTGACTAGCCGGTAGGGTTCACGAAATAACAGAAACCAGTCTTTAGAGACTTTAAGTGACGTGGTTCAAAATCGATGTCAGTGGCGCAGATACATCCACATATCATCTTAACCATTATATTGACTTCAGCGTTTTCTCATTCCTCCTTCCTTTCTTTTACCGCATACTGCTACTTTTGACAGACTTTTATTTTATTCCTAACCTTTCATCTTACTATGTTATTGCTTGATATACTAATATGAAGTGTGGCAAGTTGAATAGTTACGCAGTAATGCCTGGTCCTATGTTGATTAACTATCCATCAGATAAACAATCTAGTATGGAATTATACTCTGCCACAGTATCCAAGTTGCACTCTAACAGGATTCACCACTACATATTAATAATAATTACCTAGTGACTGGAAAAAAAGATTATTTGAATTTCATTAATTTTATTTATTTACCATTTAAGCATTTCGAAAGATTACACTATGGTGCTTGGTACATTCCACCTAAACAATGGAAAGTTATCAGATATGATCAAATAAACGCGAAAAGTATCAATGAACATGATAATGCCAAGATTAAATCTCAGAAACAAATGATGAAAGACTTAAATCAAAAAATGAGAGAAACACATGGATACAATGCTTTTATGGAATTCATACAAAATAAAAGTGAACGTATGCCTGAGGTGAGAATACTTTTGTATACAGATTTGTAGATTCAAGTTTCAAACTGTCCAACTTAGATGCTGTTTGGCTTAAACTTAATCAAAAAACGTTTCATTATCAGGCTGGTTTTCATCACTGTTGAAGCATGATCGTATGAAAGTGATTTGATTTCAGATAATCATAGATGAGTAGATAATTTTCTTAGCTTTCAGTTGGACGTTTTCCGTATGACGTTCACGGTCACAATAAACGCTTCTCCAGAAATTTTTGATCAAGATTAATAGTCTAGGATGTAACTTTTTGGTGATTGATTGGCTTGTTTGTATAGGTACTCAATTTCCCTGCTATCAATTATAGACTCACAATCTCTCTCCACTTATCGAACTTTAACTGTAGCATATCAATTATGGCTTATAATCTAAAACGTGAATCTTTGCATCGATTTATAATCACTGTGTGATCTGCTTACAACTAGTATGAAATTAACATGAGGAGAGAGTTGGAAATCTGATCTTTCTCATTGTCAATATATGCTGCTGAACTGGTCAATCTGCCACCAGATGAGCATTACCTTTTTTGTGAAGGCTGATGATACTGAAGGAAACAAGAAGACAGATGAAGGAAGGAATGTTTATTATAACATATGGTACAGTAGTCGTTAAATTTCGTACACTTTGCACTAAGATAGTCATTTTCAAAATATACTTTATTTCCTCTTCTGCTTCTCTCTTGATTTGCTATTCGTACGCCCGCATTGTCTCTTGCGTTTCTCTGAGAAGAATCCTCACCTATTGCTGGTAATTGCCTATGATTTCAGCTGCTCTCTCAACACATCCTACTTATATCCATTCTTATCACTAACGTCCACTACAATACTACCTGGCTGTCTCAACATCGGTAGGTGGGGCGGTGCTGAAATCTGTGACCCAGTGGTTGATGCAAACTTCTCTAGACCACTGAGAGACAGCTACATAGCCTTGATATTAACTACAGTCAGAAAAATGTTATATATTTACTACAGGATAAAAATGGAAATTATGGTATGCGTTTTCACCTGGGTTTCAAAGTGATCGGTTTTACGTTCAAGTCCAGGTCGAAACGAAAACACGTTAATGTAGGCGTAAATAGTGAATTGATTCTTGAATCAATGAAATGTTAGTCTTTTATCCCATTACTAGCTACCTATATATAAATAGCAAATACTACTGACTAATTCTTTTATTTTTCTTTCAGTTTATGAAAATTCAGTGAACTATCTGGAAGACTTGGTTATGCACCAACTGGGAATTTATTTAATAGTGATGACTACATTTTCTTCTTTAGCATTTTATGAATTCCTACTTCTAATCTAATCTATCCTTGTCCTCAATGTTAAGAATCTTGATTGATGTTCTGATCTCAGCTTTTAAATTTAAACAAATAAATAATTATGTTCAACTACTTTAATTGTAAACGATAAATCCCAAATATGACTACCTGATTGCAGCTACATCAAGGCAAGTGATTATTATTATTTTTAGTAGTCCCTGGGTTCCCAATGGAACATAGGGCTTCAGTAGCACGTCTTTAATGCGCTCTGTTCTCTGAAATCTTTTGAACCTGGTTCCACGACAGACCAGAAGCTCACATTTCCTCCTCGCACAATCTCCCCCATGTCACCCTCGCCTCGGACGCTCAACTCGTCGCTTCCCATTTGGGTTCCACTCTAGGGCCTGACGCGTGATGTCCCCAGTCGGCCTTCTCAGTGTATGCTCTACCCAATCCATCTCCACTTCCTTCTGCATATTTGTTCAGCGATAGCTTCTTGGTTGGTTCGTTTCCAGAACTCCTTGTTGCTTATTCTTTCTGGCCTTCTAATCTTCAGTAACGAGCCAGCGTAGACAGTTGTTGATGGATGTCTGTAATTTATTGGAAATCCCTTTCGTAACGCGCCAAGTCTGTGAACCATACAGAAGCACTAACTTGACGTTGGTGTTGGAAATCCGGATCTTGTTCCTCATGCTGAGTGCAGAAGATCTCCACATGGTTTCAGGCTAATGAACACCTGTCTTGCTTTTCCGACTCTGACTTTGACATCCTCGTCTGTGCCCAGGCCGTCTGTAGTTGAAACAGTGCTTCCTAGATAGGTGAAGGAGGTTACTTCCTTTAAGTTTCTCCCGTTGATGGTGACTGGAGTTTGTCGTTGTTGGAGTTGTTGGTGCAGTATCTTCATCACCTCTGTCTTCTCTTTATTCACTTGAAGTCCCGTCTTAGCTGCCTCTTCTATCAACTTGTTAGTTTTTGCCTGTAGATCTTCAAGTTTGTGTGACATTAGACACAAGTCATCGTTGGCGAGATCCAAATCTTCTAGGTTCTTTTCCGCAGTCCAGCGTATCCTCCTCTTCTCGCTCCCCACTGTTTGCTGAATGATCCAGTCGACCACAACACAATCAGGAATATCATGGGGTATAGTAGGCAACCTTATTTCACTCCTGTCTTCACTAGTTACTAGCCGGTCCTAAGCCCCAATAAAGACGGAAGGTTGGGCACAGGGCTAGCAACCCTACCCCATAAAACAAATCTAACCGCTAAAGATACTTCGAAGCACAAACGATATATAAAAAATAATAACAAGGCAAGTGATACAATTTCTTAAAATTCCCTAGCCTTTTTAACTTGAATTCTGCGGGAAAAAAGAATGGAATCGATTCAAACAAGTTATTTCACTATATTAGTTTTTATTGTCCATGTATTAAAAATAAATAGTGGATTTTTATGTTATTCTAATCACAGTAAACTTGAGGCTGGTATGGGGTATATGCCATCAGAAAACTACAAAAGACTGTACAGCTTTTAAAAAGATTGCCTTCAAACAGCTGTGGTTATATTATTTTTCAGATGAGCACAAAAGTTTTCTTTGGAATGCAGAATTAAAGAACAGCCATCCATATATTACTGTTTTTAAAAAGACTTCAGTCATAATTCACATTCACAAACAAGAATCCAGTAAAGTAGAAAAATAACGTATCATTCTATAACGTACCATTAAGGCTGATGGCATTAACAGACACATTTATTATGAAAGAAGTTTTTTACATGTACTAAATGATAACTTGATTTGTAAGAAATATTGACTTGTTGAAAGAACAAGACCAATAACCTTTGGTTTCTAATGCCGATTCTGAATCAAATAAGCTACGACTAGTAAACGTCAGTGATACCTTAATTCCAAATTGGCTACTGAGTGGGTATGCTTGACTGTCATATGAATGAGTAGAATAGACGGCCGGACAAAGCAAATTCTTTCTATGGTCACATTTTCAAATTTGTACAATTTCAACCATGTAAGACGTTAATGAGCACGTGCAGTGTGGTTAGAACTTATACTACTGAAAATGTGTAGAAAAAAAGGTAGGATATTACGAAATGCTGAATATAAGAGAAGCAGAAAGGATTGTGGTTTAACACATGACTTTTGTATACATTATTGTAAATTATCTATGTGCATAACCGAAGCTTCAGCAATACAAATGAGATGAAGATCTGTTGCTTTCTGAAAGTCACATTTCACTTTCTAAGTGAGTCACATTGATGAACTAGGTAATATAAACTCATTGGTCAATATTTACAAATTCTCTAAGGATCAAAAATCTACTTCGACTTCCTTGTAACCATGTAGAAGTGTCTTTGGACCTCTTTATATAGAACTCTGTTCGCTTGACTTGTCTAGGCAGAAGACCAACTGGCCTAAAAATCTTGACCGGTAGCTGCTATCTCGACACAGTGGTGGGGTTCGCCTTTCACAATGAGCTACGGTTGTGGGAACATTTGATCATTGAAGTCCTACCTAACAAACAGGTCAGTTTTATAAAAGTAAGACAAAAAAATTGCCGTTATAGTGTGAATTTCCACGCTATGGTGGGTTCTGATGGCGTTCACATTGCTAACTGGACAGAAGTGCGACAGCAGTAGAATGTTTCCCACAGATGATCAGCACTACCATGCTAATTCTGCCTTGTAGAAGGTAACAGGCGGCTTCAAAAGCACCCATCCAAAAAGTATCACTCCCAGCCCTCAGGTATCTTAGTGCTGGCAGTATGGGTGTCCTAGCTGGATTTAAGACAATCAAAGCATAACGTCAAACTTTAAAAAAAGGCCGCGAAATAGAAATCCACTTAGAAACCGTGTGCGCATTCGTGCACTGGGCAGTGAGTGACAACTCATTTCTGGGGGCTAACGATACTGGCTGTTAGACTCTCATTTGGAGGAGTCGTGTTCAAACCCATGACCCAATGGTAGAAAGTCAGTAGTCTGAACCAATGAGCCAAGCTTCTGCTTATAGAACGGGAAAAAACGAAAAAGTAACACCAATCCGAACGCAGCTGGATGAGAAGAATACTATAGCCACTTACACTTATATCGAGAGAAAGGAAGAAATAAACGACCCAAAGAAGCGATCCTTTACCAGAAATTCCATTGTTGAACGTGCACAACAGCTATTATTTAGTGTTTCATTTCGACATTATATCCAGTGTGGTAGGTGATCATAGGTTTCTGGTTCTGGGTGCCTTAAGTTCGTGAAAGGGAGACAATCATATTTGCTGTGCTGATATCATTGAATAGATAACTTTCATCAGTAAAACGCAGGTGGAAAATCACTACCATTTACGCATAAAATAAGTGTCAATATTTGAGGAGATGATCGCTTATCTAAATTGGAAGATATATTGTATGTCCATTTGAGCTTCACAGGTAATTCAGTCACTAGCATGCTTGAGATAATATTGTTAATTAATCATGCGCTTTTGGTAACATTACGAAAGAAAAGATCCTATCTCTGTATTTATGTAGCGGGTCAATAATAACGTTGGACCTGGCACTACTGTGCAACGGTCCAAGTTGCCATAGCTCATTTCAGAACATCATAGTAAAAGGCACCAAGATGAAAGGCACAGAAATAAAGAAGAAAGGGTAGAATAATTGCAGAGTTTCGTACGACGATTAAAATGTAAATGATGCCTGAATACATCACTTCTAACAGTGATTTCGAACCAAACCATTTAAAGTCTCCAACCACTGGTTTCTGTTGTCACATGTACCACAACCAGGAAGTTCACATCTTCCTATATGGCTTAAGCTAACAGTCACAGACTTCATGGACTAGGAAAGACCGCTTCTAACCCTTTTCCTGCCTAAACCTACTTCAACTAACATTCCTCGATGGGACACATGAAGAAGCCATAAGAAAGATGTGAGAGATTCTATACAGACAATAACTGTTAACGTATAGAGCCTACTTATCTCCTCCATCTCCAGTAGCTATTTCCATAACCATATTTTGGAACACATCAAACAGCTAGACAGTGCACCTGACGCCTAGTAAACAATCAGATATCTTACCGATATCTACCGGTGTCCAAATTTTATCAGCCACTGCTACATACTAAACAGTCTCAGTATCACTCAATATGTTCAGGAGACTACACTTTATCATTGTCCCCACCTAGCAGGAATGTGTTGTCCAGATAAAGCTAGATACGGAATCCTCCATAAGCACATCTGTAACAAGGTTAAATAAAATAATGAGATTGGACACGACTGGAGGTAGATAACTCATTCAGCAGGCTCTAAAAGATCATATATATATATATATATATATATATATATATATATATATATATATATATATATCCGTGCATCAAGCCCTAAGTAGGATAATTTACGTTCTGGTCACATCTTTTAGTGAGAGTTAAGGTTTAACGCTGCGTTTACAAGAAGAAATACAACTTTGTTCAACAGGTCTACTTGTGTCATTGTTCTAAGCAAAAACATCAATAAGTATGCCATATTTGATCGGCACACGGTAAATGGAACATTTATTATCAATGACGACAGGATATCGCAGGACCTAAAGTTTTAGTCTTATTTTTAAGTTTTCACCTTATTCTTGTGATATTCACGATGCACGTGACCTTACTTTCTTGGTATTTGTTTTAAGGTGTTTTTACTTGATAAAACTCCTACTATAGAGATATCGCTCATTAGCTTACAAACTCAACTTTCAAGGATTGAATGGCTGATTTGACATATGAGGTATTATCAAAAACCGCCACACAATAGAAGTGGCATATGGTTACGTACATCGATATCTACCAGGTAGAAGTAATTATCATCATTTATCCCAGTATACACCCCTTTGATCTTTAGTTTTACACTGTTTTCATTTGACCTTACGTTTTTCTGATACCAAATTTACTATTTTCTAAAGGATATTCAGGCAAGATGTTTCACGTTAAATCGCTCTAAAACACAAAGGAAGTAAACAAACCGAGGTCTAGTGTCAGTCTGGAAGCAAACTCTCTATGACTGAAGCAGATAAAAATTATTGGAACAATTTTTCATGCTTCCAGTATGCA